TTTAGGGCTCCTCAGATTTTTAGGGCTCCTTTGGTCTATAGGACTCCTCAAGACTTTAGGGCTCCTTTGGTCTATAGGACACCTTAAGTCTTTTGGGCTCCTCAAGTCTTTAAGACTCCTCAGGTCTTTAGGAGTCCTCAGGTTTTTTGGACTCCTCAGGTCTTTAGGACTCCTCAGGTCTGTAGGGCTTTAAAGCCTTTAAACCTGGTTTTAAGGCAACCAAACAGTAAAAAGGGGGTGAATACTTCTGCAGATGCTGTAGAAGTGCTGAGTNGATGAAAGAACAACAAAGTCGATCATCAAACTGCGGCCTAGGGTGTCCTGGTTCCAAAAGCACATATGGACACCTTTATGTTTGAACATGGTGTTTGTTATGGACAATCCATGATGAGCACAGAAGTCCAATAACAAAACACTGCTCGGGTTCAGATCAGGGGGTCGTTCCTCCCAACCACRCCTCTCCAGGTCTCACTGTCATTAACCCACGTGAGCGTTGAAGTCCCCCAGCAGAACGAGGGAGTCCCCATAAGAAGTGCTCTCCAGCACCCCCTCCAAGGCAGCACGATGGCTCAGTGGTCAGCACCGATGCCCCACAGCAAGAAGGTCCTGGGTTCGATCCCCGGCTCAGACCTAGGGTCTTGCCATGCGGAATTTACATGTTCTCCTTGTGCTTGTGTGGGTTTTCTCCGGGTACTTCGGTTTCCCCCACCCCCCACAAACATGCACAATACTGTAGGTTGCCTTCAGGCCCTTGAAAAAGAGATCTGAGATCTCAACGGGACTTGTCTGGTAAAATAACGGTAAATAAAACAAAAGGACTCCAGAAAGGGTGGGTAATCTGAACTGTTGTTAGGCTCATAGGTACAAACAACAGTCAGGACTCGTCCCCCCACATGTAGGMGGAGGGAGGCTACCCTCTCATTCACCGGGATGAACCCCAACGTACAGGCACCAAGATGGGGGCAATAAGTATGCCCACTCCTGCTCGGYRCCTCTCAGCATGGACAACTCCAGAGTGGAAGAGTGTCCAACCCCTCTGGAGGAGACTGGTTCCAGAGCCAGAGTGGTGTGTCGAGGTGAGTCCAACTATATCTAGCTGGAACCTCTCAACCTCACACCGGGCTCCATGGGTGAAAGCCCTGCCACCAGGCGCTCGCCAACATGCACCCCCTTCCAGCCTGGCTCCGGAGTGGGGCCCCGGTGACTCGTGTCCGGGCGAGRGAACACTGAATCCATTTAAGGCACTCATCATAARGGGTCCTTGGGCTGCAATTTTTCTGATCGGTTTGCCTTGGGTGACCCTACTGGGGACATGAAGCCCCTGACAACATAACTCCTAGGATCATTGGGACACTCAAACCTCTCCACCACCATAAGGTGGCAGCCCAGGGAGAGACTTAACCCTGACCCTAAACCTAACCTCACAGGTACATACCTGACCCTAATCTCAGGTATGTACCTGGTTCAGACAGAGATAAAAGTGACTCTTGTTCAGAAGCCAAAATCTATCTTATTTCCCTCTGGGATCAATAAAGTATTTTTGAATTTGAATTAAAATGTGATGTCATGCTGCTCTTTAAAATCAGGACTCCTCAGGTCTTTAGGACCCCTCAGGTCTTTAGGGCTCCTTTGGTCAATAGGACACCTTAAGTCTTTAGGGCTCCTTTGGTCTATAGGACTCCTCAAGTCTTTAGGGCTCCTTTGGTCTATAGGACTCCTCAGGTTTTTAGGGCTCCTTTGGTCTATAGGACTCCTCAAGTCTTTAGGGCTCCTTTGGTCTATAGGACTCCTCAAGTCTTTAGGGCTCCTCAAGACTTTAGGGCTCGTTTGGTCTATAGGACTCCTCAGGTCTTTAGGGCTCCTTTGGTCTATAGGAC